TATGCCATCATGCCCTAAGTTGAAGGATGAACATGGGAGCATAAATTTACTTAATATCATTATCTGTACACTTACACAACTTTGAATAAACCAACACTAAGTATGTCAACCCCAAAGTTTTTCTCCATCACATCCTAGTTACCAAAGAGTGACGAGTCTTATTTGTCTTTTTGGAAACAACACTCCACCAACAAGTCAATCAGGTTATCGTTCCACCTCTTGGTTATTGGCATTAGCACCCAACCAAGGAAGATGTCTGACTTGCTAAGGGATCCAAAAATGTCCCTTGTTCTATGGCGGTTGGTGTTGTTTCGACTCTCTTATCGGCGATATCTCGATAAGCCATGTTTTTTTCTCTTCTACACATTGTGATTGGTTGTTTATGTTGGTGTAATAAATATTTATAATTTTAATGCAAAATAATTGATTTAATGGCAAATCAACGATCACATTACAACTGTCATATTTTAACGACCATAAATAAATGCCATCTTTCAACGACCATATTGTTTATATATTCAAGTACTCTTCATGGATTTCTCTTCACTCAATCTCAGAGCTTAAATCGCATTCTCTCAAAATCATATTTTTATCATCTCTAAAAACAGGAAAATGGTAGGCAAGAGAGGAGCTAATTGGCGACCGAACGAAGATGAAATCTTGTGCAGAGTTTGGGCGTCGATATCAGAAGATGAAGTGGTTGGCACCAACAAAAAGTCTGCAAGGCTGTGGGAAAGAGTGGTGATAGAACATCAAAGATGGGATCCTGCTACAACTCGTACTATTCTTTCAATGGAATATCGATGAGGACTATCACCTATCACTCCAATGCTTGGAAGGGAGTTTTGCAAAGAGCATAGAGGAATCAATTGAGTGGCACGAACCAATATGATGTTGTATTTTTTTGGAACCTTCACTTATTATTTTATTATTTTATGTACTTTGACTTCTCTAACTCATGTGTTAATAATTTTAATATGAAAAGGCTGCAAGATCAATATATAAGCAAGATAATGGGAACAAAGCCTTTGCTCATGAGCATTGTTTTGACATTCTTCGAAATTGCCCAAAATGGTATTGCAATCCTCAACTAGATGTTAGTTCCATTCCACCTAAGGGACAATTCTCTCATAGGTATTGGTTCTCAATACTTTCCCATGGAAGGCCTTAACGACTTACAATATGAAGGAGATACGCATTTTGTGTTGTCTCGCCTAAACGAGGTGAAAGCAAAAGGTAGCAAAGAAGAAAGGTAAGATAGTTGCTGAATCGTCAAACATGTATACTACTCAACTACTAGAGTTTGATAATGATATGAGAGCGAGGCAAAAGTCGAGTATAGATTACGAAAACAAAAAAAATGATCGTTCAAGAGATGAGACTGGAGCGTGGGAAACAGGAGCGGACGTACAAGAGGCAAGTGAGGGAACGCGAAGCATAAAAGTGGGCTATTGAGAAGAAAGAGAGGGAAGCGGCAATACTTCATCAAAATATGACTATTTTGGACAAGGATTTATCAAGGCTGACACCAAGAAAGAAGAGATTTTGGAGAAGTAAACAAAATGACATCTTGGGGTATGATCAAGATTATCCCAACTCTAATCCAAGTGATGGCGGAGATGGAGATGAAATTGTGGAGGTGTTTAATTTTTTGTCATGATTATAATTAGAAGAAGGTCTTATGTGTACTCTATTGTCTTTACTATTTAATATGGTGTGTGTTGTCTTTTAACTTTGTTGTTTCATGTACTGTGTACTCTTTGAACTTTGACGAGGGGCGGAGCTACAAGGTTGGAAGGAGGTTCCATGGCATCCCCTTGATTTAGGAAAACACTGCAAAACTTAGTAGTATAAATATACAGATGATGAAATTTAACCCCAAATCTCAATGTTAATTGTTAAACTTTTATAATCCAATCACAATTGATTATATAATTAATTTTACGCATTAATTTTTATATTAATATAGTCTGGTCGCCGCAAATTATTAGAGGAAATCATTAGACCTTTTATGATAACGATAATTGGAAGAGAAAATTTGTTCCCATCAATGTATTTGCTTGTGAAACTTGATTTGGTTTGCTACTACTTTCTGTCAATATACATGTTGATATTATCAACAAAAAAATACATATCGGTACAAAGTTTTCTGCAATGAACGAGTGACTAGCCTTCGACTTGACTCAAAAGAATTTGTGAATGATTATTTGTGAAAAGAATTATGTAGTTTTAAAATATTTTCATTATATCAAACATGACTACATGAGATCGTATCATGGGTTATTGCTCAAAAATTATTTTAATGCACCTCATTGAGTAAATTTCTGGTTACGCCAATGACTTTGACCATTTTCATGTGTAATAAAACTAGTGTTGTTGAAACTCTGAACTAACTACAAGACACGCTTTATTGAAACATGAAATACAATCACATACCAAACCTTGGAATTACAAACTACCAAGTAACATGAAATAAAATTAATATTGAAACATGCAATACAATCTACAATTAGACAATAATAGTTATTGCCATGCAAATTCCAAAGATACTCAACCAATTCATTTAAAAGCACATGACGTGTTATTGAGGAGCGAATCCTATTATTTCTAGCCAAGTAATTAACCAGAGTTGAATGTATCGGTTGATTGGTTGAGGTTGTTCATGGACCTCATAATCAAGTTCATCATTCATCTCATCGTCAGAATCAACTTGCTCATCCTTGATTAGCATGTTGTGTAATATAATGTACGTCAACATTATATTATTAAGTGTAACAATATCCCATTCCCAAGCTCTTGCAAGGCCACAAATAATTGTCAACTTGTTTGGAGAATTCCAAATGCCCGCTCTACGTCTTTGTGGTGTGCTCCTTGAAGTTGAGCAAACAAAGCCTTTTTGTTTGACTTTGGATTGCTGAAGGTTTTCACTAAAGTCGTCTCTTGAGGGATAAATACCGTCAGCCAAATAATAATATTGATCGTATAATTTTCATCAAGTCGTACATGTGGAGCGCTTCCATTGACGATATGACCAAATACCGGAGACATCTCCAGAACATTTATATCATTGTTCGTCTAGGAGATCTAAAGAAAGCATGTCATATCCATGTGTTGTAGGAGGTCACCGCCTCCAGAACGATTGTTGGCCTATGTGTGTGGCAGTGTATTGTCCTGTCCAACAATTTGGACAATTCCTCTATTCTCAATGCATGCAGTCAATTGATCAAATCATTCTAGGAAAGCCATAACTTGAGGCTTTACAGAGTAAGATCCTTAAATTAACACGAGTAGGTGCACAAAGGTATGTGGCCCTGTATATGTTGATAATGTTGTTGCAAAACTTTTTGAAGACGTCCATTATGATTCTCTCACCCATTCGAACATACTCATCAAGTCGATCAGCTGGGGAACCATATGCTAGCATGCACATCGCACTAGTAAGCTTCACCGAGACCCTTACGCCTTAGAATAAATGAGGGGTCAAACCTCACAATGTCACCCATAATGCGATGGAAGATCTTGATTGTATCTGATAGCGCCTTATGAATATGTGAGCATTGGATATTGGATTTGGATCGAAGTAATCCCTCATAAGACGTCGATTACATTAAACTCTTTCACGATCAATGTGAGTTCGGCTTGTAGTTTGATGCTGACTTGATGAACCTTCAGTCAGTTTCCGGCCGATTAAACTCAAACGTAGGTGGTGAAACCTTTCGTACTCTTCGATTTCTTCGTTTCCTACAGACGATGAACTTTCTGGGATACTCATGATGAATGAGTTTGTTTTATAAATGGTAAGAAGTTTCAGATGAGTTGATGAAAAATGAAGATGAAGAACTGTCATTAATAAAGACATATAATGCATAAAATGACACACAAAAACGGTCGTCAAGTAACGACTACAAACAAAAGGTCATATTTGGAGTGGTTACGAAGTTATCGATAACAAATTACCGACTAATTTCCTGAATTTTTTTATTTGAATTAAAAAAATTCTTTTCTAAATTAATAATGAACTATAAAAAAGTGGAAATAAGATTTGAGAATTTTAAAAAGCCCCATATTTAAAAAGTTGGGAAACTATATATCACTAATCACTCCGGGGATTGGAGTTAGTCCCAGTTTTTTGGTTGCGAGTTGCGGTTAGCATAAGAGCAATGTTGTCAAAAGTGAACCAGAGTATGACCTGATAATGTGAACGACTCGATCTTTAGCGGTCTAACCGACATTAAATCGTTAGAAAACCGACACCTAATAAACAGTCAGTATAAATAGTGGACACTTCTTTTTTTTCGTTGAATAATAGTGGACACTTCTTACTCATGGTAAACCATGACTAAATTAGTAAATTATACTCTTAACTCTTAACAATTCCAAAACATGCTACCGTAGAGCCAGAAGCGGGGAGCGGTTACAGGGACTGGGGATGGCGACGGGAAGTGACGACGGAGCGGACGAGTTGCTACGGGAGGAGGGGACGGGAACATAGACTGGCGATGGCGAGCTGGGAGTTGCTACGCTGATTGGGGATGGCGACGATGCCGACGGGAAGCCAGGACGTGAAGTGTTGACGGTGGCAGGGTTTGACGCCGCTCTTCTCCCTCTGTTCACGAAGAGTCAAAGACGAAAACAGAATTAGAGTTAGAGTTTCTTTCCCAGTCCCACGATTTTGCCTTTCGTTTTCAATTTTTGATCTTCTTTTTCAATTTTTTTTATTAAACAGAACGGTCGGAAGGGAAAAGCACAGCGACTGGTTCAAGCGGCTCGAACGGTTAACCACCTCGACCGCTCGCCGGTCGCTAAATAAAAACGTAGCGACTAAATGACTATCCCTAGCCGGTTTTGTGCCTGGGTGGCGGCTTTAGCGGTCCGACCGACCGTCTCGATCTGGTCTTAATAACACTGCATAAGAGGATAACCTGATTCACTTACCTTATCATTTCCCCTCTTCCTCCATATTTTGTTTTATTTTTTCCCACTTCTTTGTTTCTCTTCCGTCTTTTATTTCATTTTCAATCATTTCGTGTTTTTCGCCTCCCCCTCTCGGAACCCTAAGCTGAAAAAAATCATCAGCACCAGAGAAGAAAGAGAGCAACGACATCCACGAAGACGAAATTTTATCAGGAAACAAACACCAGCAACGCCTTCCCAGCGATTTTACTTCTTCTTCTAGTTCACTCTCGATTTCTGGGTCTTTGCTGGGTAAGAAATGCAGCACCATCAGCAAAGGTTGATGCACCAAGCTCTCCTCCAGCAACAGTCTCTTTACCATCCGGGCCTCCGTGCTCCACCTCAGGTTTCCTTCCCCCTTCCCCACCTATTTCGATTGCTCTAGGGTTTCGATCGCCTGCTGCGATTATTTTGTCTCCGGGGTGATTGCGTTGAACGTGTGATAGTGACATGGGAATAACGATTCTAGGGTTAGTTCAATTTGTTGTTGGGGAAAGCTGGAATGTCGTTTTGTGAAGAATTTTCTTGTGTTGATCGAGGGTTGTTAAGCTCGACTAGAGTCTGGTTGGATAGTGTTTCATTTTCTTTGCATTGTGATTGAAGACTTCTCCTTTTTGTTCCCCACTACTTTGTTTTAAACCTTTCCATTTTCTTTGCAGATTGAGCCGATTCCCAGCGGAAATCTGCCTCCTGGTTTTGATCCAAGCACTTGCCGCAGTGTGTGAGTATCTGTATAGTATTTCTCTTACCATGAAAATTTCATGTTGTTTCTAGAGGCATAGTGATTTCTTTTCCACTGAGTGATGTTGTTCAAGTAGTTGGTGTATTTCCAAACTTCCCTGCTTTGTGATAGATGACGAAGCCTCCTTATAAGTTTACTTATATCTCTTTTTTCTTTTCTTTTCTTTTTTCTTTTTAAATTCTAGTTTCTGTATTCTTGTAAAAATTACAGGTACGTGGGGAACATCCATAATCAGGTCACTGAACCACTTCTCCAGGAGGTTTTTGCTAGTACTGGCCCTGTGGAGGGTTGCAAGCTTGTTAGAAAGGAGAAGGTATATTCTCCACTTTAATTTTGATAACCTCATGTTGTATTTAGATTACTTTTGAGATCTGCTCAATTATTCCAGTCCCTGATACTCACCTTTTTTTGTATTTTGTGCTACCAGTCCTCTTATGGATTTGTACATTACTTTGATCGCCGATCAGCTGCTATTGCAATAGTATCTCTTAATGGGAGACACTTGTAAGTGCATATCACTTTGGTGCTGGCCTGTTCCTCTGCCATTCTTTTGAATCTGCTATATTTTGGTGATATTCATGGGATGTCCTATTGTTGATGGGGATTTCAGATTTGGCCAACCTATCAAAGTTAACTGGGCCTATGCTAGTAGTCAGAGAGAAGATACCTCAAGTAGGTCTTATTTTTGTGTTTTATGATTGCTATTTATGGTTCACTGGATTTTGTAAATCCTAAGTATTGTCAGTAATGTGCAGGCCACTTCAACATATTTGTTGGAGATTTGAGTCCTGAGGTCACTGATGCGATGCTGTTTGCATCCTTTTCTGTTTTCCCCAGTTGCTCGTAAGTTTGGCTTCAGTTATTTCTGTTGTCTTGTGAGATAAGATAAAATGTTAGCAATTTCTCGAAGTTCAAATCAACTGATTTAAACTTGTGCTGTATCAGTGATGCAAGAGTTATGTGGGATCAGACGACTGGACGCTCTAGAGGGTTCGGCTTTGTTTCTTTCCGTAGCCAACAGGTGGTGCTTGTTAACTTCGTCATATCTAGGCATTACATTTGATGTTTATCATTATACTTACGTGTCATTTGCCTTTACAGGATGCCCAAAGTGCGATAAATGATCTAACAGGTACTTGTGTGGGGAGAAAATTAGACGATTTTGACTATTAAACCATGTTCCATGCTTTTTCAGTTGCCTTCACGCTTATGCTAATGGCCTTTTATCTTTATTCAGGGAAATGGCTTGGTAGTAGGCAGATAAGGTGCAACTGGGCAACAAAAGGTGCTGGATCCAATGACGACCAACAAAGCTCAGATGCCAAGACTATTGTTGAACTAACTAATGGCTCATCAGGTCTGTTGGCATTTAACTTTATTGAGTGTTTTAAAATGTCTTTTGTTACGAAGGTTTGATCTTTAAGGCATTCATCTACATTGGTTGTGCAGAAGATGGGAAAGAGCCAATTAACAGCGATGCTCCCGAGAATAACCCCCAGTACACAACTGTCTATGTTGGCAACCTTGCTCCAGAGGTAAGAAACTTCCTTTCTTACTCTTATTTTATTTAGGCGTTCCGCTTGTTACCTGAGAGATCTGTTCTTTTCTTGCTGTTTCTCATTTGGCAGGCTACCCAGCTTGATCTCCATCGCCACTTCCACTTTCTTGGTGCCGGGGTCATTGAGGAGGTTCGTGTTCAGCGTGATAAGGGATTCGGCTTCGTGAGGTACAGTACTCATGGTGAGGCTGCTCTTGCCATTCAGATGGGGAACACACAATCGCTTCTCTGTGGGAAACCAATAAAGGTAGGGATTTTTTTATTACTTCATCAGTTCCCTCTTGTCTTCTTCCTTCATATATGTTACTTATAGACGATGGTATTCCACTCGTGTAGTGCTCTTGGGGTAGCAAGCCGACTCCACCTGGGACTAGTTCAAATCCACTCCCACCACCAGCAGCAGCAGTTCCAATGCCTGGCCTCTCAGCTGCTGATCTCTTGGCGTATGAGCGTCAGCTGGCCATGAGCAAGATGGGTGGGGTTTACCCTATGATGCACCCACATGGTCAGCATCATCCCCTCAAACAAGCAGCCATGGGGATGGGAGCTGGAGCAGGCCAAGCCATTTATGATGGCGGGTTCCAGAGCGTTGCTGCTGCCCAGCAACTTATGTATTACCAGTAATATATTGTCCTTCCTACTTGATCTGATGCTGTGTGGATTTACGGGAACATGTTAGGAGAGCCTTTTCTTCTGTCTTTTGATATGTGGCCGTGAAATGAGTGTTCACCCGCAATATATATATATATATATGATTATCACTGGAGTGCGTGCAATCTGTATTGGGGAGATGTAATACCATATGTAATGTCTTTCTTTTATTTTCTTCTGTTTTCATGACTGTCCCTTGTTTAGGGGATATGAGGTGTCTTTATAGCAGTCTGGAGTATGACTGAATGATAAAAACCTGTTGTATTGAGAAACTTGATGCCACCGGCATCCTGTTGCTTCCAATAAATTACAGTGTTGACTTGATTTCCCGCATAATTTCATGCCTTACTGCTTTCTTTTGCCAAGGTTGTTCATTAGCTCTCGTTGAACGTTCCAATTTAAGATCGGTGTTTCGTGTGGTCGGGGTATGTTCATATCGATGAAGACTAGTACAGGATTGGAACAGCAGTCGATCTAATTTAGTTTGGTCTCATCTTGATTTCTATGGTCTATTTTCATTTCAGATTAGTCGCCGTTCCCTCGACTGCGGAGAGTCCGGTCAAGATAATAGCTCAGTTTGATAGGTGGTAGACATGGAAGCTCGAGCAAGCTTTTTATTTCATGCAAGTTTGAATCATTTACTATCACAACCAGAATCATAGCCCAGATGGTGATGTGATATTTTATCTTCAAGCTTGCAGCTGTTACGTACATACTACATAGACTCGATTACAGATCTAGATTTTTTACAGCCGTGTTTGATTGTACATATGATAGGAGATAAGTGGGAGAGGGAGGGGAGGAAATGCCACATCGGCTAGGAGAGGATGTTTAGAATAAGAAAGGAGTATAAAACAAAAGTTGGGTGCAACCATTCAACATACTTACCTGGACGGGATCTACGGGCGATCAATAAGGCCTGTGGTCTAGACCAGTGACCTCCATTGTACTTAGGAGGGGTGCTGGGCTAAGGTCTCCCCAATGTGGGAGAGCCTACGTCATAATTTGTGGCAGCGGGGGCCTGCGTTCGCGCGGCCCCTACCCAATTTTTAGTTTAACTTTTTTATCTGTTATCTGATATAGAGTTTGTTTGGGTTTCACCTAAGGACCAGTGAAGGAGTTAGGTTGAAATGAGGAGGGGTTATAGCCCCTTCAAATTAAAAATATAGGTAAATTTACATATTAAATCTCTAAGAAATAGAGTAATAGTTAAGGCCTTAAACTCCCCTCCCTTAACTATAATGGTTCAAGTTAGCTTTGTTTATTCAAATTTCTGACTCCTCCACTGAAGCCCATTAATTTTGTGTTCGCAACACACGAATCTTGCTCTTGGTTATAATTTTGTGTTAGTAGACATTTTAGGGAAATTGATAGTTAGTAAATAGGATTGGAGATAAGTTGGGGGAGGAAATACCACATCGACTAGGAGATGATATTTAGAATGAGAATGGAGTGTAAAATAAGAGTTGGGTGCAATTATTCAACATACTTACCTGGACGGGATCTACGTACGATCAATAAGGCATGTGGTCTAGACTGGTGACCTTCATTGCACTTAGGAGGGGTGCTGGTCTAAGGTCTCCCCAATGTGGAGAGCTTACGTTATAATTTGTGGCAGCGGGGGGCTGCGTTCGCGCGACCCCTACTCAATTTTGAATTCAACTTTTTCATCCGGTTTCAGTTATTGAGTTCCTTGGGATCCAATTAGAGGACCATCAGTGGAGGGGCTAGGATGAAACTAGGAGGGGTTATAGCCCTTTCAAATTTAAAATATAGGTAAATTTACATATTAAATCTCTAAGAAATAGAGTAATCGATAAGGCCTTAAACTCCCCTCCCTCAAATAGAATGGTTCAAGTTAGCTTTGTTTATTCAAATTTCCGACTCCTCCACTGAAGCCCGTTAATTTTGTGTTCGCAACACACGAATCTTGTCTTGGTTATAATTTTGTGTTAGTAGACATTTTAGGGAAATTGATAGTTAGTAAATAGGATTGGAGATAAGTTGGGGGAGGAAATACCACATCGACTAGGATATGGTATTTAGAATGAGAATGGAGTGTAAAATAAGAGTTGGGTGCAATTATTCAACATACTTACCTGGACGGGATCTACGTACGATCAATAAGGCATGTGGTCTAGACTGGTGACCTTCATTGCACTTAGGAGGGGTGCTGGTCTAAGGTCTCCCCAATGTGGAGAGCTTACGTTATAATTTTTGGCAACGGGGGGCTGCGTTCGCGCGACCCCTACTCAATTTTGAATTCAACTTTTTCATCCGGTTTCAGTTATTGAGTTCCTTGGGATCCAATTCGAGAACCATAAGTGGAGGAGTTAGGATGAAACAGGGAGGGGCTATAGCCCCCTTAAATTTGAAATGTAGATAAAATTTCATGTAAAATTGGTAAAAAAAAAACAATTAGGAAATAAATTACTCAATAGGGCCTTACTCCCCCTCCCCCAAATATCATGTTTCAAGTTAATCCTTCTCATTCATATTCCTGACTCCATCACTGAATATCATTAATTTTGTGTTCGCATCACACGAATCTTGCTCTTGGGTTATAAATTTATTTTGTGGTTAGTATACATTTTAGGAAATTGATAGTTAGTAAAGCATTCTCCATCACATAACATGTGCCAGACAGTATTGACAGTTTTTAGCTTTTCACTCATTTTCTAATCTTGCAAGTACTGATCATAGATTAGGGGTGGGCATTAGTACGGTCAAACTGCTCCGAATCGCACTAAATCGCTTTTAACAATTGTGATTTGACATGCGGTCTATTTTTGTTATGGCTCTCGGTTAGCGGTTGAATTAACCCAAAATCGCGCGGTTCAAACCTGCAAACCACAAATAAACATTCGTTCAGACCAACTTAATAGCCTCCACACCCATCGCGGTGGCTCTGTCCAATTCCTCATTTTTGAGTGTATAGAAAGACCAACTTAGCCGTTTGATACAATGCATAAGAGATTGGGAAAGTGGGAAGAATCAGAAATGTGATTTTCATTAATGTCTGGGAGTGATGGACCGCTTTACCTTAAAACGTCTGAAATTAATATAGGGATAAGGAGGAGTATTTTCGAAAATTTTGAGCCCCTCTGTCCTTTTCTTCTTGTCCTATATTCGGATGTTAGAGAAGAGAGATAGAATTTTGACAAATCAAAGTTTACTTTTTCTACGATATAATAAGCAGCAAAAAACAAAATTTTTGGCTAAATCTATGGATTCTATCAATCTATGATCCAAATCCTTGTCTCCAAACGAGTCTTGCATTTAATTATCTTTGAATCCTACTGAATTATATGTCTAGTGATGCATATGGAGATAGCACCACCTCTTATCCATTTCCTTCCTCTTTCCCATCCAATAAACTTTAAAGCCTCTAAAGTCTCCCAAAATTGAATTTCATTGCTAAATTTAGTAGATATTGCTCAAACTTTTACCCGATTCTTCTTTGATTGTTTTTGAACATTGGTGATCCTTATTACAAACTCTTCATGTTGATCCTTATTGGTGCACAACAACCCTTTCTCATGCACATCAGTCAACAACACTAAGTTGTTGAGCATCTTGTGTTCAAAGATTATGGCTTGAAATGTGTAGGGGTCACTGGTCACTAAGGCGGTGATTCATGCTACCATTTGTGTAGACATATTATGGTATGCTCCTCCCTTGCATTGGCATAAACTATATTAGGGTAGCGACGAGAGGATTTTGGGACGTTGCAAATTGCTTAGAATGGCCATTGTTGATGACTAAAGAATCTCTGAGGATAACACTAGTGGAGAGTAGATTTGATGCCATGCATTTTGGATTTTGGACAACATATGAGTGAATTTAGCAATGAAATTCAATTTTGGGAGATGTCGACGGGGTTTTGAAGTTTATTGGATGGAGAAGAAGGAATAAGTCGGTAGTGTTATCACGGTGGCGGTAAGCATTTATTTGATTTTTTGTTCGGTCAGTAAATGATGAGTTAAATTCAATACATTTTCATGGAGCACAATAAAAATGCTACTTTAAGAATCATCCCAAATCTAGAATCACGAGGAGGATTTATCGGTTTTTAATGATCACATGTACGTTTGCTCAAAGAAAAGGATCACAACACCAAGTTCTTTCATGCAAATACCATCTAAAGACGCAACTCTAACTACATTTTTTTTTAAAATACAATGAAGATGACTGCATTGATGAGGGGGAAACACTTAAACTACTTGCAGATAATTGCTTTGAAGAATTCTTAACAACCCACCAACCCCCCAACATTGACCAATTGATGAAGGGATTCCCTAAACTTGTTACTCAAGAAATGGATGATGACCTATGCTCGCCATTTACCAATGAAGAAATTCGAAGCTTTGTATTTAAACTCGGGCATACAAAAGCTCATGGTCCTGATGGATTTTCATGGCATTTTGAGGAAATTCTGAACGACAATGGGAACACGGGTTTGTGCGAGAATATCAAGTCGTTCCACCTGGAAATATGTTGAAAGATTGGAATAATGTGTATATTGCCAATGTCCCCGAAATGGACTCGCCTAAACCCATTAGTCAATCGGCCCTATAAGCTATTGCAACTTCTAAGATCATTACAAAGATCACGACTACCCATCTTAGAGATGACTCCCTAGGCTCATGCTGGAATTACAAATAGCCTTCACAGGAGGTTGTTAAATACAAAAAAAAACATCATCACAGTGCATGACGTGCTCAACCACTTTAAGAAGCAAAAAACATGCAACAAAAAATACATGTTGAAGCTGAATATGAAAAACGCATATAACTTAGTTGATTTGGATTGCCCTGGAGGCTTCTACACCTGTACGATTTTGCACCGACCTGGTACAACTGGATAAGAATGTGCATCCGTTAGCCAAGTTCCCAGTCTTATCAAATCGAGAAGTTTCTAATCTCGTCTCCCCTTATAGGGGCATTCGCCAGGGGAACCCCTCTCTCCTTTACTCTTTATCGTAATGTTTACTACTCTCTCTTTATTGATAGAGAAGGTCATTGCTACTAGACACCTTAAATGACTGAAACTGAATTATAGATGCCCACTTCTTACTTAGTGTATCTTTGCAGATCATACCGTGATATTGGGAATGCTTCCCCTTAAAAAGAAAACCTAATCTTGGAGATCATCAATGACTACTTGGTCATTTTTCGGGTTAAGAAGTGAACAAAGCAAAATCATAAATCTTCTTCCATCAAAACATACCCCAACATGAAAAAAATAAAAAATCATTCAAGCTTTGGGGTTTGATGAGACCAAAGTCCATCCCAAATACCTTGAGATTCCAACTCAATGGGGGAATTCTAAAATCAACGGTTTGAATATGATATTGTTTTACTAATTTTTTAAAATAATCAATAAATAATCAAAATATTTATATATCCGTATAGTACAGTCAAACCTTTTTTTCCTTCAAAATTAACACGAAATGATATAGTCATAATCAACTAACGTTTGACTAGATGAAAAGTTAGTAATTTAATTATTATATAAGAGACAGCAATGGTGACTGGCTAGGAGGTTTTGCTTGCAAAATCGGCACTGGTTCTGCGATTCTCGCGGAATTGTGGGGTATACACCAAGGATTGATCATGGCTCGGAGTCAGGAAGTCCAATTCCTTATCTTAGAGACAGATTCGAAGCTTGCTATTGATTTGATAAGGGCGAGGGCCGACCCAGTTCATCCGCACTCAACGATTCTGGCAGCCATTAGACGACTTCTAGCTCAAGATTGGGTGGTGCAACTGGTTCATACGTACAGAGAAGGGAATAGAGCCGCGGACTGGCTCTCGAAGCACAGTCTCGTCTACCCCTTCGGTACGCATGAACTAGTAGAACCTCCAAGTGAGTTAGGAAGGATTCTTGTGGAGGATATCCTGGGAGTGAGCTTTCCCAGGAGGGTTATTCAGAATACGGATTGAGATAGAGTCTTTCAGTTGGTTATTTCCTTCTTGTGTTAGCTATTGTTGATTGCCCTTTGTAATACTTGGCTTTCCGCCTCCCTCATTTCAAAAAAAAAAAAAAATTTATTATATTATTTTTGAAAAATTTGACGTTAATGTTTTTTAAATCAAAAGTGTAACAGTTACCTTCTCTTATTAATCCAAAATTTTAATGCAAGAAGACAGAAGCCAACAATAAAAAATGTAGATGAATAATAATAATATAACAATAAATAACAATCACAATTAATATTTAGTCCTTTTTACCAATACAGTGTGACACCATATTCCCCACAGGACAGACCAATCCTATCACAGACCTCAATGTCCAACACGCGGCGCCACCCGATTTGCCCGTCGCCCAAAAAAACACCACGTCACAAGCGCCGTAACGCTATCACTACCCACTGCATGGAAAACATCACCGGTATAAATTACTCCCCGCGAAAGCTTCATTTCATTTCCCCCCTCTTTTCTTTCCTTTCTTCCTCAGTCAGCTAAGCTTTTACTGTGGCTCTCTCTCTCTCCCTCCCCCATTTCTTTTTTTTCTTCTTCTTCCTTTCTTTCCTTTTTGTTTCCGTGTTTTTTTTCGTCTTCCTCACTCGGAACCCTAACCCAAAAAACAATCATCACCACCAGAGGAGAAGGAAGCAGCAACACACGCGAGCAAGAAATTTTCTCAGGAAACAAACACCACCAACTCGTTCCCCGCGATTCTGCTTCTTCTACTGGTTCAATCTCGATTTCTGGGTCTTAGCTGGGTCAAAAATGCAGCACCAGCAGCAAAGGCTGAAGCAGCAGCAGCAGGCTTTGATGCACCAAGCTCTCCTCCAGCAGCAGCAGTCTCTTTACCATCCGGGCCTCCTCGCTCCGCCTCAGGTATCCCCCCCTTTCCATCTCGGTTGCTCTAGGGTTTTGATCGCCAGCTGCGAATTTTTTTTTTTTTTGCCGGGTGATTGGGTTGAACGTGTAATTCGATTTGGAAAATTTGCGATTTCTAGGGTTACTAATTTTGTTTGGGAAGCTAGAATGTGATTTTGGGAAGGATTTTCTTGGGTTGATCGGGGGGTTTGGAAAGCTCGCCTCGGCTAGGATAGTGGTAACGCTGCTGTTTTATTTTACCCGTTAAAGTACTCCTTTCTAGCTTATTTTAGTAAAGTGTGAGATTTTTAGGCGACCCTTGTTGTTTGTTACTATGTATAGCGCGTTGGATGGATTCGTTTGTTCATAGCTTTGCTGCATTGCTGCTTACTCAGCGTGGGTTTTTACTTTGGCAATGTTCTTGTTTAGGCTGTAGTTAAGGGTTGCTGTTGTTTAATTGTCCATTTAATCCCTATCGGTAGCTCTGTACGTTCTAGCTTGACATGATATGGGCTATGTATGGAGTAAAGGCTTCTCCTTTTTTGTTCTGCACTACTTTGTTTTGAACTTTTTAATTTTCTTTGCAGATTGAACCGATTCCGAGTGGAAATCTGCCTCCTGGTTTTGATCCAAGCACATGCCGCAGTGTGTGAGTGTTTTGTATTAATAGTTTCACCGCATTGCTATTCTTACGTTTCTCTACCATAGCTTGAGTGTTCTCTTTCCACCTCGTCCAGTGGTCTTCTTCTTATACCAAGAATAGTTGGTGCTGTTTCTATGGCATAGTAATTAATGATTTCATTTCTACTGAATAATTGGCAACTAGACTTGCACACTCCTTAATTCTGCTATAAGCTATAAAAAATAGGGCAGGTACTGAATAATGTTGATCAAGTTGTTGGTGTATTTCCGCACTTCCCTGCTTTGTGATAGTCGTGGAAGTCTGCTTATATCTTTACTTATATATCTTTTTTCTTCCTTTCTTTTTAAAATTCTAGTTTCTGTATTCTTGTAAAATTTACAGGTACGTGGGGAACATCCATACTCAGGTGACTGAACCACTTCTCCAAGAGGTGTTTGCCAGTACTGGCCCCGTCGAGGGTTGCAAGCTTATACGAAAGGAAAAGGTGAATTCTTCAGCTATTTGATTCTGATAACCACATGTTGTATTTAGCTTCAATTTGAGATTTGTTCAGAAATTCCAATCTGACTGTCGCCTCCGTGTTTGCATTATGTGCTAGCAGTCCTCCTATGGTTTTATTCACTACTTTGATCGCCGATCAGCTGCTATTGCAATAGTATCTCTCAATGGGAGACACTTGTGAGTTTTGTAGCCTGTTCCTCTGCCATTATTTTGATTCTGCCTTATACTGGTGATATTCATGGGATGTCTTACCGTTGATGGGAATTTCAGATTTGGCCAACCTATTAAAGTTAACTGGGCCTATGCTAGTGGTCAGAGGGAAGATACCTCAAGTAGGTCTTATGGTTGTGTTTTTGGGTTAATATTTGTGGTTTACTGGATTTTGCAAACCCTAAGTAATGTCTGTGATGTGCAGGCCACTTTAACATTTTTGTTGGAGATTTGAGTCCGGAGGTTACTGATGCAACACTGTTTGCATGCTTTTCCGTTTTCCCCAGTTGCTCGTAAGTTTCTCTTCAGTTATTTCTGTTGTCTTGCAAGTTAAGCTCAAATGTTGAAATTTCTCAAAGTGCGAATTAACCTTGTGCTGTATCAGTGACGCAAGAGTTATGTGGGATCAGAAGACTGGGCGTTCTAGAGGGTTCGGCTTTGTTTCTTTCCGTAATCAACAGGTGGTGCTTGTTAACTTTGGCATATTTTGGCATTACAATTGATGTTTATCATTATACTTATGTGCCATTTGCCTGTACAGGATGCCCAAAGTGCAATAAATGATCTAACAGGTATGTGTGGTGGGAGAAAATTTGCTGATTTCGACTATTAAACCATGTTCCGTTCTTTTTTCAGTTGCCTTCTCGCTTATGCAAATGGCCTTCTAATCTTTATTCAGGAAAGTGGCTTGGTAGTAGGCAGATAAGGTGCAACTGGGCGACAAAAGGTGCTGGATCCAATGATGACAAGCAAAGCTCAGATGCCAAGAGTGTTGTTGAATTAACTAATGGCTCATCAGGTCTGTTGGCATTTGACTTCATTGGAGATTATATAATATATCTTTTGTTACAAAGTTTTGACATTCATCTACATTGGTTATGCAGAAGATGGAAAAGAGCCAATTAACAGCGATGCTCCTGAGAATAATCCCCAGTACACAACTGTCTATGTTGGTAACCTTGCTCCAGAGGTAAGAATAATTCCTTCTTACTCGTGTATTTTTAGATGGTTAGCTTGTTACCTATGAGTGACCTGAGAGACTTGTGCTGTCGCTTATTTGGCAGGCTACCCAGCTCGATCTCCATCGCCACTTCCACTCTCTTGGTGCTGGGGTCATCGAGGAAGTTCGTGTTCAGCGTGACAAGGGATTCGGTTTCGTAAGGTACAGTACTCATGCTGAGGCTGCTCTTGCCATTCAGATGGGGAACACACAATCCCTTCTCTGCGGGAAGCCGATAAAGGTAGGTTTTATTAGTATTCTTCATCTGTTTCTTCTTCTCTTCTTCCTTCATACATTGTGTCTTATATACTAGAGTATTCCACTTTGGTAGTGCTCTTGGGGAAGCAAACCGACTCCACCTGGGACCAGTTCAAATCCACTCCCACCTCCAGCCGCAGTTCCAATGCCTGGCCTCACTGCAACTGATCTATTGGCATATGAACGCCAGCTAGCCATGAGCAAGATGGGCGGCGTTCACGCTTTGATGCACCCACATGGTCAGCATCATCCTCTCAAACAAGCAGGCATGGGGATGAGCGCTGGAGCAAGCCAGGCTATTTATGATGGCGGTTTCCAGAGCGTTGCTGCTGCCCAGCAACTTATGTATTATCAGTAATAATTTGCTCTTTCTACTCTTTCTGAGGCTTCGTGAGGATTAATGGGAATAGATATTTTAGGAGAGCCTTTTCTTCTGTCTCTGGTGTGGTGAAATGAGTGTTCACCCGCAAGATATATATATGATGATCACTCGAGTGTGCAATCTGTATTGGGGAGATGTAATGCCATCTGTAATGTCTTTCTTTGCGGTGTTATAACTTTTGGTCATGGTCACTATTACACTGTTGTAGGGATGAGGGAGTTCATGATGTCAGTAAGGGGAGGGGAGTTCGGTGTTTTTTTTAGCAGTTTAGTAGTTCTACTGTACGATGATGCTCTCGTGATTTGCTTTTACAGCAATTTGTCTCTTGTTCAGATGTTATCTAAAGTACTGAAAGGCTTCATGCCATCCTTTTCCGCTTCCTTCCAATAAATTAGTGTTGACACTTGACTTTTTATATAATTTCAAGTCGAAACTACATCGATTCAGTTTGGTCTTATATTGATTAGTACTATTCATTCAAAATTTGATGCAAAACGTAAATTCAGCTGAAAATAGTAGCTGAATTTGGCGGGAGTCGACACTCGACACTCTGGATGCCTCAAGACTGATTGAAGTATGAAAACAGGCAAAATAAAGCTCAAGGAATATTGGTAGTTAATACAGCATTATCCACCACATAATATGTCCAGGTTATGGGCATTACCAGCAGGATTGAACAAAAACAGAAGTTACCAGAGGTTGAAAGATCCAACTCTACTTAATCTACTTGGCTTTTCAGTCGGTTTCAAGTCTTGCAATGTACTGATCATAGAACTTCCCAGCTTGCTCAAGGTCTCCAAGTTCAGTGTAACAGTCTGCAATAGCTCCATAAGCTTCCGTATTACCAGACTCTTCCCCTTCCCTCTTTGATATCGCCAGAACCATCATATGGTACTGTATCGCATCCAGATACTGCCCCTGCCTTTGCAGCGAGGCTCCTGAACAACAAACCAGATTCTCAGTCAACTAACACACTATACTATGGGTGAAACTGGTTAAGGATACGCAATAAAACAAACCTAAGCCTCTTGCAGCCTTTTTCTCCTCTATGGGGTCATTCAAATCTTGAGCAAGTGTAAGGGCTGCCTTGAACTCATCGAAGGCCTTCTGCGGATCTTGGTTCCTCAAATAGTTCTTCCCACTCTTCAAACGGGAGATCAGTTCTTGCTTCCTCGAATCAATTATCACTTCATCTGAGATCCTGCTGCCAACAGGTGCATAGCTAAGCGTGGGGGCGTATGACTCTATCTTGGCTTGTCTTCTTAGGGCAGCATTGATCTGGCGTAGTTGCTCGTTCAGACGCTTCAGTTCTCCTTTCCTCTGCCGTGCGAGCAAACCTATGACGTGGGTGGCAAACTATTCATGAAGGCTCCCAGTTTCTCATTCATTTCAATGATGAGGTGTGAATTAACCGCCACCATTTTTGTAATCGACCCCAGAAAATTGATAGGCTCTACTACTGTGTATAAATGTTATGTTCTAGTGCCCAATGTCGGGTGAGGGGTCTTTCAAACTGGGATTGGGGCCAAGGTCTGGGCAAAATCCCCTTGTCTCGTTGTGAAGCAATGGTTCTGGTGAGATATGGAATGGGGGAAAAGAATAAGAAAAGAGAAGCAGAGGATTGGGACAGAGGTAGAATAGGGAAGAAAGGGAAAGTATGGCTTCTTCGAGGGAGCCTTCCTCCTTGGGGTTTTGTTTAATTGATAATTCTCTACCTTCTTATTCATTCTACCAACTTAAATAGCAACAGGGGACTCCAACGACTCTGAGTCATGGGGACCTTAAAAACAGGACATGATCCCAACAATAAAAAACAAACAGCAACTAAATGGATTTGGAAACAACTAAAGTGGGCAAGTGGTTACTCCAACGGCAAGATAAATGGGCACGTAACATTCCTCCCCCCTTGGAGAGACCTTTGTCCGCAAAGGTCAACCGTCAACCGGTAGAGGAAGGGTCGGCAGCTGTTCGTCCCCCACTTTGGCCTTCAAGGCAGATACATGAAACACCGGATGAATCCGGGAACCAGCGGGCAGGTCGAGTTTATAAGCCACCTCCCCGATCTTGGACAAAATCGTATAGGGACCATAGTAACGTGGCCGCAGCTTCTGGTTGCCTTGTCCCCCCACCGTTGCTTGTCGATATGGTTGTAGTTTTACGAACACAGCATCTCCCACCGCAAAACTCCTCTCAACATGGGCAGCATCATAGAGCTTCTTCATACGTTCCTGAGCTCTCCCAATGTGGACGCGCAGCTGGCGAAGTGCAGCATCGCGGTCGCGCAGCTCCCGATCTACAGCAGCAACACTCGCCGTCCCTGGTACATATGACAAAATAGTGGGTGGAGGCTTGCCATATAAAGCTGCATAGGGGGTCGTCCCAGTGGAGCTGTGGATGCTGGTGTTGTAGCAATACTCAGCCCATGGCAGCCACCGAAGCCACTCACGAGGTTCTTGTCCAGCAAAGCATCGTAGGTACATCTCCATGGTTCGGTTAACCGCTTCTGTTTGGCCATCAGTCTGAGGGTGGTACGCCGAGCTGAAATTGAAACTCGTACCCTGCAATTTGAACAATTCTTTCCAAAACAAACTCGTGAAAGTGGGGTCACGATCACACACAATACTCTTTGGCATGCCATACAGCTTGAGGACCTGCTGAAAGAATAAAGTGGCCACTGTTGCCGCTGTATAGGGATGATGGACGGGGACGAAGTGCGCATACTTGGTCAATCTGTCAACCACTACCATCACAGTGGAAATGCCTCGAACCTTAGGAAGGCCCTCTACAAAGTCCATTGATATATCCATCCATACCTCCTCCGGAATCGGCAATGGCTGCAAGTACCCAGCTGGTTTGGTCGTGTCATTCTTCTGTTGTTGACAAACTGAGCATTTCCGAATGAAGTCACGAACTGAGGAACGAAGTCCCTTCCAAAAGAACACCGCTCGAACCCTCTGGATTGTTTTGTGGAATCCTTCGTGTGTACTTGAATGCATCTCCTGGATAATTATTGGCACAAGAGATGAAGCTGCACTCAAAAAAATTCTTTTCCTGTAAAACAAAAGACCATCAGTGAGTGTCCAATATGGATTCCCATCAGCAACGATGTGTTTGCTAATGAGTTGCTGATATTCAGCTTCTTTTTCCACTTCTCTACGGATGGTATCCGCCCAATCGGCTACTGGTGTCGAAATGGCCATCAACTCGCCCTCTTGTTTGCGCGAGAGAGCATCAGCCACTCTGTTCTCAGCTCCTTTCTTGTACTCGATTTCAAAATCAAACCCCATCAATTTAGATAACCATTTTTCTTGGGCTGGCGTTGTGATTCGTTGTTCCCATAAGTAGCGGAGGCTCTTGTGATCAGAGCGTACGATAAATCGTCGCCCCAATAAGTACGGTCGCCATTTCTTGACAGCCAGCACCAGTGCAAGCATCTCTTTTTCATACGTTGAGGCTGCAAGGTTCTTCCCATGAAGTGCTTGGCTAAAGAAGGCCAATGGTCGCTGATTTTGCATTAACACGGCACCAACTCCAGCACCTGAAGCATCACACTCAACAATAAAGGGTTGCTGGAAGTTAGGGAGAGCAAGTACCGGAGCTGTGGTCATGGCCTTCTTGAGCTGGTGAAATGATGCTTCGCTGGCTGGCGTCCAATTGAAATTGTCCTTTTTCAGCATGTCCGTGAGAGGTGCTGCAATCTTCCCATAGTCACGAATGAACTTCCGATAATAACCGGTCAGCCCCAAAAAACCCCTTAAAGCTTTGAGTGTTCTAGGTTGGGGCCACTCCAACATTGCTTTGATCTTCTCACTGTCTACTGCAACCCCATCAGAGGATATAAGGTGGCCCAAATAATGGATTTTGGATTGAAGGAAGCTGCATTTTTCCTTCTTCACAAACAGTTGGTGAGCACGCAGTGTTTGAAATACCACTTCCAGGTGCTTCAAGTGGTCTTCAATGGTTGGAGAGTAAACCAAAATATCATCGAAAAACACAAGTACAAACTTCCTTAGGAATGGTTTGAATACCTCGTTCATCAGTGATTGGAAAGTGGATGGAGCATTGGAGAGGCCGAAGGGCATTACTAAGAACTCGTAGTGGCCTTGATGCGTCCGGAATGCTGTTTTGGGAATATCTTCAGGAGCAACTCGAATCTGCCAATACCCGGATCTGAGGTCCAGTTTTGAGAAAATTTGGGCACCATGGAGCTCATCTAGCAGTTCGTCGATAACTGGAATAGGAAATTTATCCTTCACTGTTGTTTGATTGAGGGCCCGGTAGTCCACACACATTCTCCATGTTCCATCCTGTTTCTTCACCATCAAAATCGGGGATGAATAGGGGCTCTGGCTATTACGAATAATACCTGCTGCCAGCATTTCAGAAATGAGTTTCTCGATTTCTTCCTTAAGATATGCAGGATACCGGTATGGTCTCACGCTAACTGGTTCACTCCCGGGCTTGAGTGGGATTTGATGATCATGCGAGCGTGATGGCGGAAGACCTTGCGGTGGCTGGAACAACTTCTCAAATTGGTGGAGCAGTGGCTCTAGCTGCGTCGAAGTCATGGTGGCCTCTGGCTGTTCAGACGGGTTTGTTGCTGCTACGACGACCATCAAGAGCCCATGCTTGCTTCCTCGAGCCTCTTTCAACCACGTTGCTTGATCGACAACTTTGTTCCTTAGTGAGGTTCTTCCCTTCAACTCAACATCACGCCCTTGACATTGGAACTTCATAGTCATTTTGGTGAAATCCCATGTAATAGGACCCAAGGATCGCAACCATTGTGTTCCAAGCACTGCACTGCATCCTTCCAATGGTAATATATAGAAATCAACTATAATCGATATTCCCGGAAACTTAACCTGAACTCGAGGGCACTTTCCTGTACATGGAATCTTGCTGCCATCTGCCACTGCGACTTCCAGTCGTCCTTCTTCTTCACTGCGCAAGCCCAGTTTACGAGCTGCTGCTACACTCAAAAAATTGTGAGTGCTTCCGCTGTCTATCAGTACCAATAGGGTTCGTTCGCCAACCCGTCCTGGAACCTTCATGGTTCTACCATCATTGGACCCGGTGATTGCATACATAGAGATCCCCACTGTATCCGGATTTTCAATTTCCATCTCGGCATCTCCGTCTTCATCAGACCCAGTACCTTCAATAAAGAACAGCCGCTTGCAACGATGTCCTGGCCCGAACTTCTCATCACAGTTAAAACACAGTCCCCTAGCTCGTCGCTCCTTTATCTCTGCCGGATTCAATCGCTTGATGGGCATACTTCCAGGCTGGGAAGTAGGGTTTCGTTCACTGGGTTTGGGTTCCGGGTACCCACCCCCGCTCGAGGAACCCCCTCGCTTAATGACGGTGAGTTTTGACGCCACCTTCTGTTCGTATAATCGAGCTAATCCGATTGCGGCAGTGAG